GAAGCGTGATTTTTGAACTTTGCAGGAACCGGTTCCTGCATATGTAGGAACCGGGTTCTGCTGTAACTTTTTGAAAAATATTAAACTTTGAAAATTCATAACTTTCAAACCGTAAGTCCGTTTTGAGTGCCATTTTGGACGTTATTTCTTAAATTTAATACTCTATTTTATAAAATGAAAATATTTCCTAAAAACTGAAATTATTTTGAAAATGTGTCAAATCCCGGAATAAGTGATTATTGGCTAACACACATGAGTGTGTATGTAGCAGTGAACCTGTGATGGATGGATGTATTAGTATTGTGTGAATGAAATGAATGTTTATGTTGCTAATGATGGTGTGCATGATCGTTGAGATATCATGTTTTTGGTTTTGGTTCAGTTATGATAAATTGATGTATTTCATAGACTGATTTGATGTTGCATGCTAGTGATGTGCGTGCATATGCATTGTTTTGGTGAAGTTAATTCACATTGTGTGGAATTTGACTTGTATTGTCGTTAACCGATACACAGGTGATGATGTGTTGTTAGGCTGGATTCGTGTCCGGGTGTTTATGGACGAATCGATGGTTGCTGTATCCGGTTGATGATTGATCAGTGTTGGGTGACTTGGTCACGTGTTGGTACCACTTGCATTGTGTCTGAATTTGTGTTTGCATGGAATTGTAACATGTTAGGATGTCTTCCAGTGTTACAATTCTTTGGTTGATTATTGATTTGTGCATAATGACTTGTATGATTGGAACTGCGTGTTGAATATGAATTTATGCTAAAATGGGTGAAATAATATGCTTGTGATATAATGTTGATTGAGAAGCTTATAATGCATGTTAATTATGAGAAATCTCACCTTTACTTTAACAATTTCAGATTAAAGTTAGCAGCTCAGGAGTTGGTGAGGATGGCTCTAGAGCTATGTTACTTTAAGTCCGCGTGTCAGTGTCGTGCTCTGATAGGTTGTAACACTGGGGAACGTTTAATTGAGGAATTAGTTATTATTCAATTGTTTATTTGAATTTCATTGGGAATAATTATGTTTTGGTTTATTCCGTTTTGGTTATGGTATTTTTCCGCTGTGTAAGACATGGTCTTAAGTTGATTGAATTATTTGAATAATGACCCTCAGTGTAGCATGACTACTGTTTTATTGGAAGTTTTATTTATTTCATAATTGTGACATCCCTTGTTCCGTGTTAACTCTGATGGAATATGTCTTTAACCATTGATATAATTAATATTATTCGGGGTATTTTAGAAGGGGTGTTACACATTTATTTTTTGTTGATACTTTTCTTTTCAACCCATTTATCCCCAAACTCATTTACGAGAGATTTGTCGAACGTCAATTCAATAACCAATCTCTGTGGACACAATACAATATAACCTATATCACCTGGTAAATTAAGAACTTACTTTATGCTTGCCACTTTACCGCTTCAGCTAAATGGTGCCATTGTCGGGAATTGGTTCTATTGTTTTCGCATTGCGATAATTCTTTTGTTTTTGAGTTTTGTAGTTAATGTATATGTTGTATAGAAATTGTATATTAATTTGTATATGATATTTATGCATATATGTGTTTTCACGTATTATTGTAAATTGTCTCGTTTTCGTAACATTTGTTGTGTGATTGTTAGGAAACTTTATTTAGGTTTGCACGGTGTGACAATACCATGGCATGACGAGAGGAGGTTACTAGCTCACACAATAAAGGCGTCGAGCTTACGACGTGAAACAAACATGTTATATTATTTTTATTTGTGTTAATTTAGGTAGTGTGGTGACTTGTGTTTTAACAAGTTGAACTCAGATTAGTTTTTAAATTTCAAATCTTCACTTTTCAACTTGTTAGTTCACTTTCACCCGTTTGTTTCGTTATGTCAGTTGAGTTTTTCTGAAAGCTTATCGTGTTTAGCTTGAGAAAATTTGTTAAAAGTTTATAAATATTGTATGTTTTGTATAGTTATATAGTAATTAGCTTTATTATTATTTTTCTAATTCTTTTGTTGTTGTTTGGACTCAAGTTTTGGTTCGGTAACTTGTAGAATATTGAGGCGATTTGTCATGTTTGATCATTTCGATTTGCGAATGCGTGGTAATGATTTTTGCTAAAGTTTTGTACGTGTTCGAGGTATGTGTTTATCGCTTTCTATATTTTAGCATATTCATGATACTTAGAATTTTCATAATTTTTATTCCATTCATTCTTTTGTATACTTGTTCATTTATGAATCACTTTAGTTCTCACCCTTTTTGTGAGGTAGCTTTCCATTGTTCATATATGCTGGAAGCCACAATTCTTGTTTTAACTGGACTTTATTATGCTTAATTTTTTGTGTGTGTTGATTGTATGAATGTAAGAAAAGGATCAAAGCATTTTTGTTTCATTTTGAGCACAACTACCTATCCAAATAGTCAATTCACCTTGTGAGTGTGTGATCATTAGTAACCTCTTTGAGCTTTTTGTCGATATCCATGCATATTTGCTAAATGCTTGTCTATGCGTGTTTAACTTCCCTTTTTGTATGGATGTTGATTCGTTGTTTTCTTGAACCCTCAACCATTGTTTTGGTTTGAATTTTTATCTTGCCTTAAAAAGTAGGGAGTATTCACTTTAATGTATGGTTGAATTCAAGTTGGGGAGAAAAATTATTGTGTATTTATTGGTCGATTGCTATGAGGTTGAAAAGAAAAGAATAGAAAGAAAAAGAATAGAAAGAAAAAAATGTGAAAAATAAGTGATAGAAAAAGAAAGAAAAAAAATTGAAAAAGTTTTGAAAAAGAAAAACAAAAAGAGTTCGAACAATTGTGTTAATAAGTGATGTGTGTTGGTGTGAAACTTGTGGTAAAGAAGAAGTTTGATTGAAATTCTATTGTTTGAAACTTTGTGGAAGTAATTACTCCCTAAGGTTTAAGCAATTTTTTGTTTCGATTGGCTTTAGGACTTATCACTTGTTTGTTAACCAAACCATATTACAGCCTTGAAAAGCCCTTGAGATTCTTGCTTTTATATTTTCAATGTAAATTTTTGGATGAATGCATAATTTAGTTTATTGTTTGCAAGATTGTTAGATGAGTGAAAATACCTCATTTTTGTGTATTTTTCATCTACCGATGATTCTATTTGCTAGGTGTGGTTCATTTGTGAACTAGGATTGCTTTAGAATGTTTGGCATAATTTTTATATTTGACATTTGTTTCGTGTTTATGTTATAGTCGTAGTTTAGTGGTAAATGTTTACTTTGTGTATACTGTTTTTCATTTGAAGCATTGCATTTGTTTTCTGTTTTCAAAACTTATTGATTCGTGATTCTTTAATTTATCATTCTTTGTTCTTTGAGTTATTTGATTTTGTTTGAGGACAAACAATGATTCAAGTTGGAGAGAGTTTGATAAGTGCAAATTATAGTTATTTTTTAATATACTTTTTGTTGCACTTATCGACTCTTAGTTGCTCATATCAGTTGAAGAACTCAACTTTGTGTATAAATACGTTTAGTTTGTGTATAATATGTTTTCGTGTATTAATTGTATTGTTTGATAGTTTTGTATTCATTTTGTATTAATTGTATTGTTTGATAGTTTTCAAGGATAGATCGTACTTTTCTTCTTTTACCTTCTCTTTCTTTTTAGACTTTACTTCTCTTTCAGCGAGTCGTTTCAATTTAGTCTCATGTTCACTAAGTTTTCCAAACATCTTTGTGATATCTAAAGCATCAAGATCATTTGATTCATTTATAGTTGTTACCTTTAGTTGTCATTTCCTACGCATATATCTCAAATCATGTTCGCACAATCTTTGTTAGAAAAAATCTTTCCCAAGTTGTCTAGCTTAATGATTAAATTGAGAAAATAAATCTGCATGGATTCCACAAGTTCTTCGGGTTCCACACAGAAAAATTCATATTTCTTTATCAACATATTGATTTTAGAATCGTTAACGTCTTAAGTTCCTCCATAAAGGACTTGAAGTGAGTTCCACATAATTTGTGCACTATTATGATATAAGATAAAGTAATATACTTTAAGCGTTTAACGCAAAAATAAGTATATTCTTCACCTTCAGATCATATAAAATTTTTTTAGATTTATAATTGGTTGAATTTTTTAGAAGTTTAATAGCATTATCGACTTCGTTTTCAAAGGATAAAATGTCCGTCGGTAATTGCTACCCATAGATTCTTGTCAATTGACATTATGTGTACATACATGTTTTCCTTCTGATAAGTATAACTCCCGCCTTTAAAAAATGATACTCTATTAGAAGCTTCTTTCGGATTTCCGTCACCTATATTTCAAACTTGTGAGTCACTTAGACCTCATCAAATACCTGCTTTGAGGCTAATTGTTGGGTACGAATATGGACAATAAATAATCTAGAAGGTGGAATGGGGGAGTGGGGGGTTGAATAAACCTCTCAATTAAAATATCGTTTGAGAAGAATTTTTAAAAGTTTGATCAGAATTTCAAAAACAAAGTTTATTTTGCATAGTAGAAATGATTTTGGCGAATAGAGCAATACTGCTTATTGATTATAATTGATTATAATTAACACGAAGAAACTTAAACTAAGTTATAATGCAATCAAGATTGACAATTGAATCAAACAGAAGAGACGTATTGAATAATATCTAAATTACACAAGGAGAGGAGTGTTATTATACAATTACCAATACAGATAAGAATATAAGATTTCTATAACCAAAGTGCTTATCTATTTAATAAATTTTTTGAACTACATAATTGAAGAAATAAAAGTACCTATATTCATTTAAGAGTTCAGGGTTGGATTTATACCCGTGTAAAATTCTTAATGGTTATAGAAGTTTTTTTGTTTTTTCACGAGATACTTCTTAGATTGAATGGGCCCTACCTGTGATTCAGAAGGAAAAAAATCTTTGTATTAACGAATCAACTTCCCATGCAAATTTATATGTACCACATTCAGCTTATCCTTTTATTAGCTTTAGTTTCTGAGAACCATTAATTAACCAGAAATGGAGAGTGAGTTGGTGAAACGCAGAATTGATATAATTGCAGCACACTTTGCTTCCACTGATGAGAATGAGATTTCTCCAACTCATCTTCTTCCTATGGTAATCTAATCTATAACTCTTACCTTGTATTGGTTATTTTTTTATTAAGTTGTTATAATAACTTATAAGTATGAATAATAGTACTAAAAATTATGCATGAATTCTAAAAACCCTTTTCTATCAGAATTGCAGTGGTAGTCTTAATTCTGTGTTACGGAGACATGGCAATAACATATATTTTGCACCCCAAACATCACTTAAAAAGGTACTTTCATTGTTCTTATTCATCAAATACTGTATTAGTGGTTGTTTAATTAAATTCAGTGTTTTATATTCTGATTCCATGCACTTTTCTTTTGTAATGATTTATTTTGTGCAACAAATTTTCAGGGTGACTCAACATCTTTTGTCGCTCCAAAAACCAATGGTGCAAAATGTGAAGCTCCTTCTAATTATAAAAGAGCACCATGTTTTGCAAGACCTGCAATGAAGGAATCAATAATTTCAAATTCAGTTGCGCAAATTACTAAGACACAAGTCTATGATTTTGATGCATTTGGGCCACCTACATATGCTAGGCCAAGCAAACAGATTAAACAAGGAGAACAGTTCAATAATGAAAAAAGAATACACCAATCTGAAATTGGTGATTACCATTTTGAACTATAAATATTATCTGTTACAAAAGTTATACATATATAGTACTATATAAGTAGCTATGGTTATACAAGTATATTTGTGTAACCTTTTTCCTTCTTTTTTTTTCTTTTGCAGGTATTGAGTGGTCACCTAGAATGGATGTTGCAAATTCAAAAGGTAAATATGTTATCAGGGTGGAAGTTCCTGGTGCGAGTGTTGATGACATAAGAGTCGAGATTGATGATCAAAAGTAAGCATTTCATTTTTTTTTTTCCTTCATATTTTATGAATTATTATACTCTTTGTCTATGTTGCTAATACACTTCAGAAGAAAGGCATGTTTGTTGTTCGACGCCAATGCATATGATTACATTCAAATATTGTGTCTCATCTCGGTGTCAATGTGTCATAGCTCTTTGCAATTTATGGGATCTAATTTCTTTATATTAAAATAGTCTAATTTGTGAGTTTCTACAGATTATCTATCAAAGGTAGACGGTTAAGTAGTTCCGGGAAAGTAGCAGGTTGTCCAAATGGTTGTGCAGTTTCTTCATACCTCAAAAGAGAGATACCATATGGACCATTTGAGGTTGTGTGGCCACTTCCTACTGGTGTGAACAAGGACAATATCTCAGCTGAATTTTTGTAAGTTTTATTTTACTCTTACTTACATGGTTCTTGAATATAACCTCTTTGTTTTAATTGACAATCTTGAAACTAGAATAGTGAACCTATTTGTTTTAATTGACAATCTTGAAACTTGAAAAGTGATGATGGTAATCATAATATTCTAAATAGTGAGATATTATTGGATGTTATGATTAACTCAAATGCTGTTTGGAAGTTTCTGGAAGTTGTTTTGGCAAACTAGCTTATTTGAAAAGTTATTCTAGCCTTTTGTTGAAACTGGAAATTTCAAAGAGGAAATCGGTTTTCTCATTTCTAGAAACCGACTTCTGCCGCGTTTTTTGCTTTTCCAGTTTGTTGTTTGTAACAACTTTTTTTGAGTTTGTTATATTTTCAGCACACTATAAATACTCGCTTGTAATATTGTTTTAATAAGAGTTAATATCAATTTATGAGTCTCTCTCTCTCTCTCTCTCTCTCTCTCTCTCTCTCTCTATTAATCTCTATTTTTCTCTCTAAACTTCATCTTCTCCAATTAACCACTTTCACCATTAATTCATCAACTTCATTTTGTATATGCTCTAATATTTGACATCAAGAGCATTGGTTCTGATCCATTAACCCGTTGCAAATTATGTCTATCATTTCTAGTGATTGAATCCCTACCAATCTTCCAATTCTTGATTCCAAAAACTATGACAAATGGTGCAAACAAATGAAAGTTTTATTTGGGTATCAAGAAGTTCTCGAAGTCGTTAACAATGACATTACACCTCTTGGGGCAGAAGCTACAGGTGCACAATAAACTACATTCAAGGAAGAGAAGAAGAAAGACTACAAATCACTCTTCTTGATACATTCTTACGTAGACAACGATAACTTTGAAAAGGTTAGAGATTGCACGTCGGCGAAGCAAGCTTGGGAGATCTTGAAGAAAACTTATGAAGGGGCCGAGGGGCCGATAAAGTAAAGGTTGTAAAGTTACAAACTCACAAGAGACAGTTCAAATTAGTGCAAATAGAAGAGAAGGAATCAGTAAATGATTACATTACGCGTATAACGCGTTTGATGAATCAAATGAAGTCTTGCGGTGAAACTGTAACGGTGCAAAATATGGTAGGAAAGATCTTGCGTTCTTTAATGTCAAGATTTGACAACATAATGGTTGCAATAGAAGAATCAAAGGATATTCTCACAATGAGCAAGGAGGAGCTTCAAAACTCATTAGAGGCTCATGAACAAAGGATGGATGAAAGAGGAAATGACAAGGCAAAAGCGGAGATTACGTTACAAGCACGGTTCAATGAGAAGAACAAGAGATCGAAAGGAAAATGATTTTCAAAAGGGAAGACAAATTCTTAGAATTTTGGTGGCAAAGAGTCACAAATTCAAAGGCTTCGATGGTACAAAGGGGATAGAGCATCTCCAAAGGTGGTGGTCAAGGTAACTACACCAAAAAAATTGACAAGAGTGGTGTAAAGTGTTACAATTGTCACAAACTTGGGCATTTCGCAAGAGAATATAATGCAAAATCGAAGAAAAACCAAGGTGATGAAGCTAAGGTAGCTACATAAGAGGTAGATGATGATAACACACTTCTATTCATGATCACGGAGGAGAATTATGGCTTGAAAAAGTTGCTGGACAGTAGCAGTAGCAGTTGTCAGAAGCTGGGCAGTAGTGTCTGCAGTCTAGAAAATTATGCAAAAACGCGTTTGGAGCGAAGCACAATGGTAACCATTCGAGATGGAGTCTAAGGCAGTGATGAGTGGTACTTAAATTCTGATTGTTCAACGCATATGACTGGTAGAAAGAATTGGTTTGTCAAAATCAATCAAGCTACGAAGAACAAAGTAAGATTTGCTGATGACACAACTTTAACGGCCAATAGTGTGGCTGATGTTTTGATCATGAAGAAGGATGAGAGTCACTCCTTGATCAAATATGTGTTATAAATTCCTAGAATTAAATATAATCTCTTGAGCATTGGCTAATTGCTTGATAATAATTACATAATTCGCATGGAAAATAAGATTTTACGCGTTTTGGACTTAAACAGAGACTTAAGAGCATCCATGGCTGTAAATCATACTTTCAAGATAGAGTTAAAAGTGATGGAGCACAAGTGTCTTGCTACAGCGACAAGTCGTGATGAGTGGTTGTGGCATTAACGTCTTGGATATCTCAATTTTCGAGACCTCGATGAGTTACAAAGTAATGGTATGGTGATCGGGCTACCCAAGATCAATATTTCAACTAAGATTTATAAAGAGTGTGTTCAAGGAAAGCAACACAAGAATAGTCTCAGTTAGGATGTAGGTCATAGGACCAAACATCATCTTGAGGTGGTGTACTCCGATGTTTATGGTCCAATGCAAGTCGACTCGTATGGTGGAAAAATGTACTTTATCACTTTTATTGATGATTTTAGTAGAAAGCTATGGATTTATCTAATCAAGAGGAAAGATGAGGTGTTTGATGTGTTCAAGCGTTTTAAATCCATGGCGGAGCGGCAAAGTGGTCACAAGTTGAAAATTCTCAAAGCCGCTGGTGGAGGCGAGTATATCTCGAGTGAGTTTGGGAATTATTATGATGTTGAGAGTATAGTGCGTGAGGTTGAACCACCTTATACGCCTCAGCAAAATGGTGTTGCCGAGAGACGAAATCATTCGATAATGAATATGGTTCGTAGCATGCTGAAGGAAAAAAACTTATCGAAGGAACTATGGGGCGAAGCCGTATCTACATCCGTCTATTTGTTGAATAGGTGCCCTACTAAGAATCTGGACAAAGTGACACCAGAAGAGGTATGGTCTGGTCATAAACCAAGTTTGATTCATTTGAAGGTTTTCGGTTTGGTAGCATTTCGACATATTCTGGGTCAGCTTCGAAAGAAATTGGATGACAAAGGAGAGATAATGTTGATAGTTGGTTATCATCCTACCTGAGGCTACAAGTTGTTTGATGTGAGTAGCAAGAAGATTGTGATTAGTCGAGATGTGGTCGTGGATGAGTTGAAGTTGTTTGACAGTAGAAAAATTCACATGATAGCAGCAGAAACCGATTTCCCAACAGAAGAAAACTGGTTTCCTTTGCGATTGCTGCATACTGAAGCTGCTGGAAGTGAATTTTTGGAAGAAAAAATCGGTTTCCCTATTTCTAGAAACCGGTTTCCACAGGAAAATACAGAAAATCAGCATTCTACATAAATAGTTCAGTAGTCGGTCTAAGTTGAAAATGGTGAATCAAGTAGACGTCCAACAAGGCATAGAGGTCTACCTCAACGACTCTGAGATTGTGAAGTATTCCATGATAATAAGATCAACAATGATGGTGATCTTATTCACTTTGTGCTTATGGCCAAATCTGAGCCCGTGAGCACGAAGGAGGCATTAAGCAATTCAAAGTGGATGTGTGTAATGAAAGAGGAGCTGGAATCGATTGAGAAAAACAGTACTTGGGAGCTGGTCGATTTACCGAATTGGAAAAAGCCAATAGGAGTGAAATGGGTTTATAAAATAAAGACAAATCCGAAAGGCGAAGTTGTCAAGCATAACGCTCAACTAGTAGCGAAGGGATTTTTGCAAGGAGAAGATACATACTATGATGAGGTGTTTGCACATGTGGCTAGATTGGAAACTATATGGTTGATTGTTGGTATTGCGAATAGCAATAATTGCCAATGTATTAAATGGATGTAAAATATGCATTTTTGAATGGTCCACTTGAGGAGGAAGTTTATGTAGAGAAGTCCCCTGGTTTTGTGGTTAAGAATCAAGAGTGAAGAGTATACATATTGAAGAAGGCACTCTATGGTTTGAAACAAGCACCTAGATCTTGGAACAAACGCATATAAGCATTTCTAGTTGAAGTTGGCTTCAAGAAGCGTGTATCCGAACATGGTGTTTATGTGAAGACGGGTGCAAGCAAAGAAGTGATTATACTTTGCTTATATATGGACGACTTATTAATTACAGGCAAAAATGAAGTGAATATTTCTAAGTTCAAGAGTGAGCTTATGGAAGAGTTTGAAATTAGAGACCTTAGAATCATGACTTACTTTCTTTGCATAGAGTTCAACAAGTCAAAATTGGGGCTGCTTATGCATCAAAGAAAGTATACTCTTGAGATTTTGAAAAAGTGTGACATGGAGCATTGTAATGCTGCCATAACACCGACTGAAGCTAGGTTGCAGTTGTCTAAAAGTGAAGATAAACAAGGTGTGGATCCAACTCAATATAGGAGGTTGATTGGATCATTGTGTTACTTGTGCAATACGCAGCCAGATTTAGTATTTAGTGTCGGTATTGTAAATATATTCATAGAGAAACTAAAGGTTTCTCATTTGGCAGCAGTTAAGAGGATCCTAAGATACATCAGAGAAAATCTTGGTTGTGGAATTCTCTTTCCCACAGCGGACACGAGCAGAAATTGCGAGTTACTCAATTATATGGATTCCAATTGGTGCAGAGATAAGAATGATCGAAAGTCTATGACTGGTTATATCTTTATGTTCGGCGGAGCTCCAATCTTTTAGTGCTCTAAAAAGGAATCTGTCGTTGCACTCTCTTCTTGGGAGGCCGAGTATATCATTGCATCGATGTGTGCGTGGCAGGCTGTATGGCTTATGAGTCTGCTAAGGGAGATGGACAGCAATGAAGAAAAGGTTGTTACGCTCTTGGTTGATAAATATTCCAACTACTAACCTTGCAAGGAATCTGATTGCACATCGGAGGAGCAAGCATATAGAGATGAGATTTCATTAATTGAGGGAATTGGTATGTGAAGGACAACTGAAGTTAGGATACTATCGAAGCGAAGAACAACTTGCGAATTTATTGACGAAAGGTGTGACAAATGATGTGTTCAAGAAGCTTGTGAGGAGTTTAAGCACGAGGAATATTGAGAACTTGACTTAAGGTGGTGTATTAGATGTTATGTTTAAGTCAAATGCTGCTTGGAAGCTTCTGGAAGCTATTTTGGCAAAACAACTTATTTGAAACACTATTCTAGCCTTTTGCTGAAACTGAAAGGAAACCGGTTTCCTCATTTCTGGAAACCGGTTTCTGCCACATTTTTTGCTTTTCCAGTTTGCTGTTTGTAACAATTTTTTTTGAGTTTGTTTTGTTTGTTATATTTTTAGCATACTATAAATACTCTCTTGTAATACTATTTTAGTGTGAGTTAATGTCAATTTATGAGTTTCTCCTCTCTCTCTCTCTCTCTCTCTCTCTCTCTCTCTCTCTCTCTCTAATAATCTCTATTTTTCTCTCTAAACTTCACACTACAAGAAAATATTGAATTTGTCATGTAAGTTTGCCAGGTGAAAAGTACCTCACAAAATAATGTACTTGCGGGGTGTTTTTCACCTCGCAACATAGTTTAAAAAAAAGAAAAAGATTTTCCCTCTCGTAACTGAAGCTCGAAGTTTGAAATTTTTTGAAAATAACGTTGCGAAGTGTTATTCACCCTGCAACTAAGTTTTAAAAAAATGGGGGAAATTAAATATTAGAATTATTGAGTGTCAGATGTGGTAGGTGATTGTTTGGGACTTTTTCATAGTCAGACGTTGCAAGGTGAAAGTCACGCCGCAAGTCCCAACGTCTCTTAACGCTGCGAGGTGAAAAACACTTCTCAAGTGTTTTTTCAAAAAATTGATGTGACAATCTCTGGCATTTTCTGATGGTACAGAGCACAAAGTACTGTTTGACTGACACAAAGTTTACAGGATGGATATCATGTCGCAAGTCTCAACAACATTAAATGTTGCGGGGTGGTTTTCACGTCGCAACATTGTTATAAATACCAGCTTTTCACTTTCCTTCTCCACACTCCAGATTTATATCATATCATTCCAAACATTTTTTCTCTCTTCCACAAGCCTTTTGCGGTTCATCTACCCCAAACATCCAAAATCTCTCAAAATTTTCATTTTTATCACAGATCAAAACCATCAAGCATCAAATATGTAGTTGGTTTCAAAGTTTTTTTCATCAAACCCATTATTAAGATACACATAAAAACTAAATTATTTTTTATTTAGAAATATTATGATGAAATTTGTATGATTTTGTGTATGAAATTTATATGTTTGATTGAAATATTAGAGTTTATATTTTTAGGGTTTATGTCAGGGTGTAAAAAATTGTTATAATGTATATAGTATCAATGTTGAAATTGTTGAAATATTTTTAAGTTTTTTAGGTTTTATGTTTTTAGGTTTATATTATACTGTATCAATGTATACATATATTTATGTTATAGTTGATAAAAACATAAACATAAATAAACATAGTAAAACATTTAAAACATTTTTATTGTCAAAACATTTAAAATAAACATAGTGAAACATTTTTCAGAATATCTTTATAGTTGATAGAAATATGTTTTTGTTTATTATTAGTATTATATTTAAAAAACAGAGTAAGATATTTTTCAAAACAGAATATTTTTATTTATAAAAAAAACTTATTATTAATATTTTAAAAAATGGATTATTATTATTATTAATATTTAAAAAAACAGATTATTATTAATATTTTAAATAATAGAATATTATTAATATTTATATAAATTACATATTATTATTTTTAAAAAATAGAATAATATACTTTAGGGTATTATTTTTTATAAACAGAATAATATATTTTTCAGGTGAAATTCACTCAGCAAGTTTCTGTATATTTAAATTTGTCAAGTGAATTTCACTCCGCAACTTTCTGCCAAATCTATTCTGCAACCGCCTGCTCTGTTCTGCTCTGACATCTGCGTGTGTTTTGTTCTGAACTCTGAAAAGTGGGTTGGAGGATGAATTTCACCTGACAATGTTGCAAAGTGTTATTCACCTGACAACGTTTCGAAGTGTTTTTCACCTGAGAAAATGTTGCGGCGACTAATATTTTTGCGGGGTGATTAGTCTATCCCGCAGTAATGACATTGCAGGGTGATTTTTCCTTCTGCGAGGTGTAATTCATCTGGCAAACTGCTGTTTTTTTTATAGTGTTATCTTTTCTAATTAACTATTTTTTACCATTAATTCATCAACTTTATTTTGTGTATGTTCTAACAAATATTGTATCTCTGATGATGTTAATCCTTCAAAAATCCATGTAACTGTATCTTTGATGATGTTAATCCTTCAAAAATCCATGTAACAATTTCTTTCATTTTTTTTCCTAGAATTGTAGTGTGAAAGTATTGATGCTGAAGTAAGATCTCATTTCTAAAATGATTGATTACATTTATTTTGCACCTCTATATATATTGGAAGCTGATAATTTGTTTTTGTTTCTTTTTCTATTTTCAGGGATGGATTTCTCCAAATTATAATCCCTAAAGTTTGAAGCTCAATAATATTATGATATATATATAGAATGCTTTTGCCGATCAAAGATGTAGCAGCAGTGGCAATATTCTGCATATAAATATGCTATTTCTTCTTTATGAACAATATGACCAATCATGTATACATATATAGTATATAATGTAAATGATAAGTACTAATCCTCCATGTATATATAGTACAAAGTGAGTTAAATAATAATGAAGGTTTAAAATAAACCAACCAAACATCTAAACTATTGATCCGTGGCTTGTATGTGTTTATCAAAGTTCTTTCTAAAACATTACATAACCAGTATTTTAGCATTTATAGATAGATCTGCAAATGAGTTGAATGAGTCTCTTCTTGACACGGAGATATAGGATGCAACACTAGTATCTAATTTGAGTCGGTTGTGAAATCGATGTCGGAATAATAAAGTATGATTGATTTTTTATCGGCAAGAAACCCACAAAGGTAGGAATGAGGGAAGCAAAAACAACACACTGAATTTAATTAAAACGTTATTATTTACTTTCTTAATAAATTATGATTACAAGTACATAATAACAACTAACCTGTCTCATTCTTTAATTAAGATTGATTTTTTTTACAAAGATGAGAGACTAGTATGTTATTTATAAGAAACTAAACTTTAGTTTTTTAACTAACATACTAAACTAATGGGCTTTACTAAACATACCCATTATATAAGATAACTTAAGAAACAAGCTAACTCAATCCTAGTTCGACTACTGCATGTGCACAGGATTCGACTGTATGCTTCATCTCTGTCGAACCCAGAAGCCACTGTTGTCGACACACATGTAGACACTAGAGTTCGATCCAAAGTTTCCATAAATCTCCACCTTTGAACAAACTCTACAACATCATCAAACTAGATTTCTTCATGTCGCTTTATCAACTGCATACAGTGGAAAAACTTGCAATTTGACAATGTCTTGGTGATCATATCAACACCATTGTCTTTATTCAAAACCTTCAATACTTGGACTTCTCCACGCTAAATTATATGTCTGATGAAATACAACATCGCATCGATGTGCTTGGTTCTCTTATGATAGACTGAATTCTTTGAAGGTGTATTGCACGTTGGCTGTCACATTTAACAGTGATTGCTCGACGTTGAAGTTTTAGCTTCTTAGCAAAACCTTCAAGCCACAATGCTTCTTTCCCAGCTTCAATGAGGGCCATATACTCTTCTTCAGTGGTTGATAAGGCAACAACCTTATAAAGTGTCGTTTTCCAACTAATTTTTGTGTCAAACATAGTGAAAACATATTGAAAAATGGATTTTCTAGAATCCATACAACCTGCATAGTCAGAGTCGACATATCCTTCAATTTCAATTTTGCAATCATCACCACGGTTCCACCATAAATCAAAACTCTGTCCAAAAAAGTTTACGTCTGACTTTGGAATGAGACTACGTTCGACTTTGTCCAAAAAAGTTTCAGAAGGAATCTACGCTTGATTTCATCTGAATGATGTACTAGAATGAGTCTACGTCTGACTTTGTCTAGAAGAGGTATTGGAAGGAGTTTATGCCTTACTTTTTTTCCAAGAGAGTATCAGAAGGAAATCTACGCCTGACCTCATCTAAATGATGCACTAGAAGATGTCTATGCCCGACTTCATCTAGAAGAGGTATTGGAAGGAGTTTACGCCTGACTTTTTTCCCAACAGAGTATCAGAAGGAAATCTACGCCTGAGCTCATCTGAATGATGCACTAGAAGATGTCTACGCCCGACTTCATCTAGAAGAGGTATTAGAAGGAGTCTACGTCTGACTTTTTTCCAACAGAGTATCAGAAGGAAATCTATGCCTGACTTCATCTGAATGATATACTAGAATGAGTCTACGCCCGACTTTGTCTAGAAGAGATATTGGAAGGAGTCTACGCCTGACTTTTTTCCAAAAGAGTTTCAGAAGGAAATCTATGCTTGACTTCATCTGAATGTCGCACTAGAATGAGTCTACACTCGACTTTGTCTAGTAGATACGTTTGGAATGAGTCTACACCCGAATTTGTCCAAAAGAATATCAGAACGAAATCTACGCTTGATTTCATCTAGAAGATGTCTACGCCTGACTTTATCTAGAAGAGATATTGGAAGGAGTCTACGCCTGACTTTTTTTCCAAAAGAATATCAGAATGGATCTACGCTTGATTTCATATGAATGATGCACTAGAAGATGCCTACGCCCGACTTCATCTAGAAGAGGTATTGGAAGGAGTCTACGCCTGACTTTTTTTCCAAAAGAGTATCAGAAGGAAATCTACGCCTGATTTTACCTGAATGATATACTAGAATGAGTCTACGCCCGATTTGTCTAGAAGAGATATTGGAAGTTGTCTATGCTTGATTTTTTTTTCTAAAAGAGTTTCAGAAGGAAATCTACGCTTGACTTCATCTGAATGATGCACTAGAATGAGTCTACGCCTGACTTTGTCTAGCAGATGCATTTGGAATAAGTCTAAGCCCGACTTTATCCAAAAGAATATCATAAGGAAATCTACGCCTCACCTCATCTGAATGATATACTAGAACGAGTCTACGTCCGAATTTGTCTAGAAGATATGTTTGGAATGAGTCTATGTCCGACTTTTTCCAAAAGAATATCAGAAGGAATCTACGCCTGATTCTATGAAAGTGCTGATTATGTAGATAGTCTCCCCTTCCAGTTTCTGGAATTGATCTACATCATGTCTATAAATTGTTGATAATATTTGTTTGTTTGCAGATTTAACCTGAAAAGACAAAGTTATCTTTATGCAATGTCATGATGTATGCATTACGTAATGATGCTCTCAAGATAAATGATAATGTTGCATGCATTTTGTATGTATATGTTATGATATTGTAAATGATATATGGATGCAACATGTTGTTGGAGAGCATTGGTAGCTTCTTATAACGACGTCTTGTTGGGGGAAATAAATCCTTGACTGACGCTGGATATGAAGAAAGTGATTCTTCAATTTCTTCTGAGAATAATTTTTCTAGAGATTTCTGTCTTCTGTTTAAGGATACTTTGTTGGGGATCTTCGACTTCTGCTTGAGGATAATCAAAGAGAGTCGGTTGCTCGCTGTTCGTTGAAGGAATTGATTTTTGCATATCCTGACTGGGGAAAAGAGAGATGGATGCTATCGGACCAAGTTTTAGGCATTGTAGAAATTTCTATGGGGATAACAACTTTGGTCATACCCTGCTAGAGGGAAGGAGAGGATTTCATGGTGTTGGAGAAATAAACTCTGCTAGAGAATGAAATTCCTATAAACCGTGTTAAGGAAATAATTTATGTCGGGAATTAGTATTTCATAGGCTGTGTTGAAGAAGTTTTCACTGTGTACTAGGGGAAATGATTAGATCTTCCTATCTACTGGGGAACCTCTTGGGGAAGATGGTCCTGTCAAGTTGTCGATTGGAGATATGGAAATGAATTGCTGGAAGATGACCTAGTTTCGGTATGACTTACATATTTAGGCTTGCTAGGGAATGTATCTCTGTTGAAGACGAGCTTGTGCAGATAGCTCTGTAGAGATAATTCCGTGAAAACTGTTATGTGGGGATTTATGGATGACTTGAATGTTATCTCAAATTCTAGAGCCCTCGGCAAATGCTGATCAAGGTGATAAGTCTTCTACTAATAGACAAGTGATGAGATAACGGGACATAGTCTTACGCTTTAATCCTTCACTTTTTCCTAGACCACCTTTTCAGATTTTCAGTCCACCGGGATACCCATTTTTGCCCAAGCCATCTTTTTAGGTTTTCGACTTGCTGGGTGTACAATTTTTTATATATCCCTAATTTTTTCCCGAACCCTTTTGGTTCGTCGGGATGCCCTTATTTTATTCTAGACCTGTCGACCTAGCAGGTCTCTTTTACGCGTAGTATTTTTTTGACTATGTCTGTATTTACAGGGTGTAGAGAATTTTCACTATAAGTGTTGTAGCATGCCAGAGAATGTTTTCTTGATCGTATTTGGCCCTTTGCTGAAACTCATGTTCAATGCCCCAAGTGATTCAGATGGAGGTCTGCCCCTGGCTATTCAACACTTTTGAGAGATTCCTTAAATCTTGACTTGACTGCCGCCAGATCATTTAGACACCATGTCATGCCCCTTGATTATGAAAGGCCTACTACTGGAAATGTCTTTCCATCTGAGGTGATTATGTTCATTGAGAGGATTTCCGTTCATTGAATATTTGTTGTGCGAATTTCTCTGTTGTCGAACAATTAGTCATATGCAAACAGTGGTATTAAAAATGCAAAGCTTATGTCTATCTTGAACTTTTGAAAAATCATTTTTAGTAAATTTTTTTTTGTAAGAATATGAATTCAACTCAGGTTTTATAGTAAGTCTTTTAGGAGTCAGGATACCTTTTGTAATAGTATGCTTTCGAACTAACATATGCTTCAGTTAGGACTTTTAAGGGTTGTAATGTGGCCTGGTTCACGGTTTAAGAAGCAAAGTAAAAAAGGCTAAAAATTTATTTGTTCCCAAGCCGTTCTCCGTGATGTTCTTCAGCCCTATACTCAGTCAATTGTGCGTTTAGATTCCAATTTAGTCTGGAATGATATTTTGGTGATGGTTCGAATACTGGAAGCAACCATTTTTTGTAACATTTTTTCTTTTGTTGAGGATTTGTAGCAACCTCTTTTGACTTGATTATCCCTAAGTTTTACCTGAACTGTTTCTTCTGTGATTACAGTCAGCGGGATGCCCCCGCTTTTTCCTAAGTCTCCTTCATAGGTTTTGACTTAGCGAGCTTTTCTTTTGAGAGATAATGACTGCCTATTTTACGGGGAACCATCACCGTCTTTTGATTTGGAAGGACATCTTCGATATTATTTGTTGTGTACGAAGTGAAAGCTTGCGACTGAATGCGAATTTGAATTAACTGAGAAACTACCCTGCCCCAGGTTATGATTAAAGGTTTCAATTTTTGTGAAAAAGAAATCTCCTACTTTTTAGTCTCAAAGGGGTTGAC